ATTAGGGTCTGCAGGCCAACTTGCTAAGGCTGGTTACTTGAGCCACCATGCTGGCACAGGATTCTGTTTTTGTCTTGTAGAATAAGGAAGTCCATTATTACTAACATGTGCTGCTAGAGTTCGTTAGCATTGAGGGCTCCCTTAGGAGTGGGCTATGAGATGCAATTCCATTTTTGTACATGAATATTTATAAGCAGACTGCATCTGAGAAATTATGAGTACTGCAGGATCTTTTTCTTCCCTTCTTTTTCTGGGAGTTTAAATTTTACATCCAAGGGTCATCCTTTTCTCTCTGTCTGTCTTCTTCTCTTTAAAGGACAAAACTAATTAGGATTGGGGGCAGGGGTTGTGTAATAGGAGCAGCTGCTGTTGTTTTGAGCCTCATTTGGGACAGAAGTGTGACCAACCACTTCCCTTTTTGTTTGTGGGAATAGCAGATGTTTACACAAATGTAACACTGTCTGCGTTAGGCATGGGACAACATGCCTTACATAAATATGAAACTCACCTCAAGCCCATCTGTTCAAAATGTATCTGCACAAAAAGATCTCCCAAAGGATTGCTTTACCATACAATTTAAATGTTGAATTTTCACTGAATATAGGGGTATGCACACTGAGTTGAGGGGAGGGGTCTCTTCTCAAGGATTTGGCTTTTATAAGCCTGGACATCCAAAATGTCCCACCCTTTCAAGAGGACTCTCTGTGCCATCACACACCAAAGGACACCACAGCACTGGATACATATTGCCCAGGGCCCTCTACATCTATTCCATCTCACCTAACATAGTCATACAAACAAAAAAGAATATGTACCAGAGGTGGAAGCAGGGCCAGGCCACAAAGGAAGGATATAAACAAGTAGCAAGGAATTGCAGGGATGGCATCAGGAAGGCTAAAGCAGGAAATGAACTGAGAATAGCAAGGGATGGTAAGAATAACAAGAAAGGCTTCTTGGGGTACATCCAAAACAAAAGACATGTGAAACAGAAGAGTGCCCAGCCACTTAAAGTGGATGGTAGAGTGATAATAGATGACAAGGAAAAGGCAGAGATGTTCAGTTCTTCTTTGCCTCAGTCTTCTCCCACAAGAAAATCTACAACAATGAAGTAGTACAAGCTGAAAGTGAGACATGGCAGCCCATGACTGACAGACAAATGGTCAAGGAATTCCTAAATGGAATGAACATGTTCAAATCTCCAGAGCCTGAGGAACTCCATTTCAAAGTCATAAAAGAGATAGCAGAGGAACTCCCAGAACCACTGGCTATTATTTTCAATAAATCTTGGAAAACAGGAGGAGTGCCAGATGACTGGAGAAGGGCTAATGTCCCCATCTTCAAAAAAGGGAAAAAAGATGAACCTGGGAACTACAGACAAGTTAGTCTGACATCAATCCCTAGAAAAGTTAAAAAATCAGTCTGCAGGCACCTTGAAGAAAATTCAGTGATTAATAAAAGCCAACATGAATTTAGCAAAAAGAAATCCTGTCAGACTAATTTAATCTCATATTTTGACTGGGTAACCTCCCAAACAGACAGAGGGAACACTGTGGACATAATCTATCTCCACTTTATTAAAGCTTAGTGCCCCATGACATTTTGATAAGCAAATTAGAAAAGAGTGGACTAGACAGAAAAACTATTAGGTGGATCCACAATTGGATGTTAAATTGGACACAAAGAGTGCTCGTCCAAGGCACCTTCTTAAACTAGAGGGAGGTAACTAGTGGGGTGCCACAGGGTTCACTCCTAGGCTCAGTGCTCTTCAACATCGTTATTAATGATTTAGATGAGGAAGTACAAGGAAAGATAATAAGATTTGCAGACAATACAAAACAGGCTGGAACACCCTAGAAGACAGAATAAAGATCCAGGGTGATCTTGATAAACTTGAATGCTGGGCTGAAAGCAACAGAATGAGATTCAATAGGGACAAGTGCTGAGTCCTTTACCTAGGAAAAAGGAACCAAACGCAAGAAGGGGAATATGTGGCTCAACAGAACTGAAAAAGAAAAAGACCTTGGAGTTATTGTGGACAACAGGCTAAATATGAGCCAATAATGTGATCATGGGCCTACCCAGTCCAAGTTTGTCTACTCCAAAGGACAGCAGCTGTCCAGAGGGTCAGAGAGGAGCCTTTTCCAGTCCTAAATGGATGCAGGAAGGACTGCATCTGGAACTTGCATACAAATGTGCTCTACCATGCCTCTACTCTAGTGATATAATTTGGAATTTATTCAGAATAATCCAGGGCATCAGGACGAAGGGGATTCTGTACTTGTTTCAGGGCCTAGTCCAACCTGAAAGGCTGCGTTCCCCCTCCAGATGTTTTGGGTTTCAGTTCACAGCCAGTGTAGCCAATCGTCAGGAATGGTTGGAGCATCTGATGGCACCAAGCTGGGGAAGGTTCCCTAATGGAAATAACATATTAAAAGTCTATGCTGACAAATGCCGTTTCTCAGCATTTTGCAAATAAAAATCCCTCAGCACCATTAATACAATTCACACTATGTTGCATATACTAACAGCAAACATAGTTCTCCAAGTGGCAACTTTAGGTAGCCAAAAAGGCACAATGCACAAGAGAATGGTATTAACAGGCTTAAGCGACATAAAGGTTTTCAGAAATACAATATATATTTAGGGAAAAAACCAAGAATGGAGGAACTCCAAAACAACCAATGCCTCTTCCCTCATCATCACTTTTCCTTTCATGTCATGCCTTTTCCAGATGGTTAACTAACAGGTGGGAACTGCCCTGTTTTATTGATTGCATTTAAGCCACTGAAGGAGACTTTCTGGCTAACGAGAAGGGCAAACATGCCTTAATTAATTAACTAATTAACTAAATGGGACTGCAAATGCTGGTTGATCATCAGAAAGGGATGGGAAATGGAAAACCAGGAGAGACAGAGAATTAAATGGATTGACTGGAAACCAGAATAGAAGCACTCTGTTCTGCTGCATGTTGTTATATGCCCCATTTACTAACATTTGAAAACAATACTATTAGACAGCCTTGTTATGTTTATCAGGCATATAACCAGACAGCCCCCTCCCCTACCAGTTAAACTCGTTTGGCACAACTTGAGTTGCCAATGTCGTCAATTCTGGTATCTCAGAAGGACCAGGTTGGCCTGGCAACATAGCACAGGGTCACACACTACTATCAATATAACATGCATGCTGAACTTTCTATTAATATTCTATATGAAGTACTGACCTAATGAATTCCTTATAAAAATGCCTTTTTCAGTACCTAGTGGATTTCAATGCAATGTTATGCCTTTATCCACCCTCCCGCACCCACACACACATAAAGAGTAGTATCAGATTACTTGAGCAGCCTTAAATCAAGATCAACAGGAAGTGATTTTTGCTAGGAAGTAACATGAGGCTGTTTCAGATGAGCGGAGTCCATTATGGTTGATGCTTTTATGCTGCGTGTTTCTGAGGAACTCCCACTGAAAACACTGCAAAGGAGCCTAATCATTTTTGTAAGACCATGTCTTTCTTCTTAAGCACAGAATAAGATATATGAAACACAGAGAACTTCAGGCTTGGAAGTATAATAGAGTTCGCACGAGTATAAGGGGTACACAGTCCTATAATCTTCCTTTTGTAATTTTCATAGGGTGGAGCACCAGAAAGAGTGCTTTGGCAAAGTTTCCAAAATGGTCCTAAATCTTAATCCAGTGGGATTTCATTACGCTGTTTTGGTAATCTCTGAATCAAAAGACCATGCTTAGACTAGAATATAAACACCCTGCCCCCAGTTTCCATGACACAGGGCCAACTCACATATGTGACAGAAACACCCAATTTTCTACATTTAGGTTTTTCTAGGCTCACTTCTGCACTTCTTCCTGAGCTGGAGATAGCCAGTAACTCAGACATGCACACATACCCATTATTTAGGTAACTGTGGTAGTTCTAAAAGGGGAGGAATTAACAGCTGGGGCATAATAATGTTATAATGTTTGTTAAATTGTTTTTCTGTTGTTTTATACAGTGTTGTATAGATTTTATATACATTTGCACTGCCTTGAATGTAGGCAGGGGGATAGAAATGTCATTTACATCTCAGCAATTGTATGCAGCAAGGTACCTGAATACTAGTTTCTTCATACGAAAGTGAACACATATGGTACTTTTCTCTATCCATATTGAATTTGAGGACATTCATTTCTAGGAAATTCAACAGCACTACTACATATGAGAACTAGCTCAACAAGAGGACAGCATAAAACTATTCAGCCAACCCTGCCAGTACGAGTGGCTTAATAATTTACATGGCAATCTAACTTACCATACTTGCTGGCAAACAAATTCCACTGAAATGAACAAGTATGCCTTCAGAGAGATGGTTCTCAGGCATTGGACAGCTATTCTGCCTTTCCTCCTCAATCAAGGAAAAGATCAAAGGAGCAGCAGGAAAATGTGGAGGTTCTCAGATTATACAGTATCTCATTTGGAAGCACTTT